TCTTGTATGTGGAATTGATATCATAATTATAGATGTTTAGTGTATGCATCACGGTTGTGCATAATAAATACCTTATAGCTTGAGAATGTTGATTCGGCCTTCGGGTAGGATTGGATATTCGAAAGTCTATTGGGTCCAGCGTTATGTGTAGCTAGCATGCACTAGCGCTGCAGGGGATGATGGAATTTTCATGGATGTATAAGTCATAAGAAGTGGTGGGATTATATGCGAGATAGTTTCTATTCCTCTAGAAGTGAGGGTTGGACACATTTTTTTTACGTTGATGACATTGTTAGGGTGTTGTGGTGATACTTGAGACAAATATGGTTAGGTGTGGAAGGTAGTATGGGCCCGTACTACTGAAAGCACAGGACCCATACGCGTAGCAAGGAAATCACAACCCCTAAGGTTTCTGGGTATTGGTCTCCCGACATTATGTTATTTATCTGAGGGCCTATATATATATATATATATATATATATATATATATATATATATATATATATATATATATATATATATATATATATATATATATATTTCAGTATGGTGGTGATGAGACGTGTTGCTTCGGGATCCGGATTAGGATCGGGGTCGGGAGACAGAGGATTGGAGGTGCCGGTAGCACCTGACCCATGGTTCAGATAGGGACCGAGGAGTTGGATGCCAGGATCTGAGAGATCATGCATGACGAGATTGCTGCCGCATTTCGAGCGCAGATGCCAGATATGTTTGGGTCGATTAAGACCGTGATGGTTGAGTACTTTGATGAGCGATATTCAACTCTAGCAGAGATAGCTACCGCTGCAGCAACTTCGGCTGTAATTGTGGTAGGGGTTGGAGGAGGAGCCGGCAGGGCTTTCCAGTACCGGGACTTCGATAATACGAAGCCACTGACATTTGATGGTACACAGGATGCGATCACGGCTATGTGGTGGTTGTTTGACGTGGAGGGTTGTTTCTTCATGTGCTCATGTCCTGCTGACCAGAAGGTCATGTGTGCTCTGAACCTGCTTAGGCTCAGGTCAAAGGATTGGTGGAGATTGACGAAAAGTTCATATTCTGATGATCAGCGGGCTGCTATTACTTGGGAGCAGTTTCGGGATATGTTTCGCACCCGCTACGTTCCGTGTGTGGAACGGGAGCGGCTTGCTTAGGAGTTTTTGAAATTGAGATAGGATGGGGAGTCTGTGATGGAGATCACCCGTATGTTCACGGAGAAGGCTATGTTCTGCCCGGAGTTATCTGAGTATGCTCAAGACTGATATTCGATAGTTCGTGTCTACACAACGATGTGATACCCTCCTGGACCTTTAGGAAGCCGCGAGGCGGCGTGAGTTGGAGATAGAGCTACAGCTCAAGGAGCAATGTCAAGCACCGGCACAGTCTCAGCCGGCGCCTAAGCGGTGTAAGACCGCTGATACACGGTCTGGGGGTCAACAGAGCCGCACTTGTGGAAAGTGTGGCAGGGTTAATTCGGGAGCTTGTAGAGCAGGAGGTGGGTGCCACAAATGTGGCAAGGAGGGGCACTATGCCAGGGACTGCCGTCAGTCTGCCCCTCCCGCAGATATGAGGATTTGTTATCATTGCCATCAAGTTAGTCAAGTGAAGACCAACTGTCCGCAACTTGCCGCCTAGCCAGCGCAAGGTTCCGCACCAACTGCTGTGAGGATTTGCGATGGGAGGCCAGTCAAGGTGGAGCCTCCGAAGGCTCACGGTCACGCCTTCCAGCTCACGGCCGAGGAAGCCAAGTCAGCACCAGATGTTGTTGCTGGTATGTTTCTATTCTCTGTCTCAGTTATTGTATTTGTGTTATGCTTATTGATTGTACCTGTGACTAGGTACGTTTTTAGTAAATTCTTTGCCCGCTTTGGTATTATTTGACTCGGGGGAGAGTCGGTCATTTGTATCTCAGACCTTATCTAGAGGCTTTAGTGTGCCGATAGATGATCTTAAGTGTCTGTTGTGAGTTTTGATAGCCAACGAGCATGGGGTTTCTGCTTCTTCATTCTACCGGGGATGCGAGTTAGAGATTTTCGGGGTGTCCTTCTCGATAAATTTGATTCCTATCCCCATGGGGGATGTATGCGTGATTGTAGGGATGGATTGGCTTAGCCGTTTTGGTGCCATGATCGACTTTGAGGGATAGCGGGTGGTGGTTCGAACCCTAAGTAGGGGAGAACTTGTAGTATATGGTGAGGGCACCAGGCTGGGATTAGGGTTTTGTTCGGTAGCTAGGGCTCGACAGTATATTCAACACAGGTGTGCTGGTTATTTGGCGTATGTGGTAGATACGCGGGTTAGAGAGCAGCTCTCAGTTTTTGAGGTCCCGGTGGTGAGGGAATTTTCTGATGTGTTTCCGAAGGAGTTACTCGGAGTGCCTCCGGAGAGGCGGGTTGAGTTCAGGATCGACTTAGTGCCAGGTGCATCCCCTATCGCCAAGGCGCCATACAGACTGGCACCGCCTGAGATGCAGGAGTTATCATCTCAGTTGCAGAAGCTACTGGGCAAGCATTTTAGTCGTCCCGAGTAGTTCACCCTGTGGAGCACCAATCCTTTTTGTCAGGAAGAAGGACGGATCGCAGAAGATGTGCATTAACTATAGGAAGCTGAACAAGTTAACGGTGAAGAACCGTCATCCATACTCGAGGATAGATGATCTTTTTGATCAGCTGTAAGGTGCGTCTTGGTTTTTCAAGATTGATTTGAGATTAGGATATCACCAGGTCAGGGTGAGGGAGGAGGACATGGAAAAGATCGTGTTTCGGACTTGTTATGGTCATTATGAGTTCGTGGTGATGTCGTTTGGGCTCACCAACTCGCCAGCGGTGTTCATGGATCTGATGAATCGAGTCTGCAGACCGATGCTTGATCGCTCGGTCATTGTGTTCTTAAATGATATCTTGGTGTATTCCCAGAATCGAGAGTAGCATGAGGAGCATCTTAGGGAGCTGCTGGGGGTTCTGAGGCGAGAACGGTTGTATGCCAATTTCTTGAAATGAGAGTTTTGGTTATGAGAGGTCCAGTTCCTCGGACACCTCATTAACCAGGAGCGGATTTTGGTCGATCTGGCCAAGGTGGAGGTGGTAATGCAGTGGGAGACTCCAAAATCTCCCTCAGACATCAGGAGTTTCTTAGGTTTAGCAGGGTATTATCGAAGATTCATTCGTGATTTCTCCAAGATTACCTTACCCCTCACTCGTTAACGAGGAAGGGGGTGGATTTCCGGTGGGACCCTAAGCAGCAGAGGGTGTTTGAGACCCTCCGGCAGTGTTTATGCGAGGTGCCGGTGTTGAAACTCCCCGAGGGAGTGGAGGATTTTGTGGTATTTTGTGATGCATCCATCTCAGGCTTAGGGGCAGTCCTCATGTAGAGGGGATGAGTGGTAGCCTACGCATCGCTGCAGTTGAAGCCGCATGAGATGAGATACCCTACGCACGATATTGAGTTGGTAGCAGTGGTTTTCTCTCTCAAGATTTGGAGGCACTATCTGTACGGGGTCCGTTGTACTATATACACGGATCACAAGAGTTTGAGACACATCATGGATCAGCCGAACCTGAATATGAGGCAGCGCAGGTGGCTGGATGTGGTCAAGGACTATGATTGTGAAATCCTTTACCATCCTGGTAAAGCGAATGTGGTTGCGGATTGTAAGTCCCAAATTTAATGATCCAATTCAGTAATCAATGAAGTTGATTATAATAAAGGAGAGATGTAGAAGAAGAAGAAATAAAATCAAGCATGCACACATCTATATTCAGTAAATGTCAAGTACATCTTGAGAAAAGTACTACTGCTGCAGAGTTCTGACACCAGCAATCAGTTCAATCTGACACACCTCAGTTGCTATAAATAGTACTCCTCACACCAGCATAAGAGACTACAACTAAACACATGTTTACTGTCGCACACACTGTGTGCGGCCGTACACACATGTGTGGCAGAACACATTACACTACACCACATAATCACTTCTAAAAAGACACTATCATCTATACAAAATGATGCCAAGCTCAAACCACAAAATTATGTTCTTTCAGTCTCCCTCTTGGTTTGAGACTAGCATAGTCTTGTCTTCACTCCTTTGGCTCCTCAGCAGGCTTCTCAAACAACCGCAGATCTGATCTCCCCATTGATCCCATCCACAATCTTCCATTTATAATTGTAGCTACCATTGCAGTGTATTCTTTAGCAGCAGCTTCCATGACATCCTTTCTGCAAATGATTTAATGACTGGCCAAAGTTCGTATATCCCTTTCCCTGAAGCGGAGAAGATCTTTTGCACTAATCAATCTCAAAATATTTTCTCGATTCTTGAATTTGATGGCTGCAGTAGCTGTTTCGTCATCATATGCCCAAAATTCCATGTCATCTACATATCCCTCATGAAAATGTTGAGGAATAGGAATTTCCTTTTGTTTCTTAGTTGCAGGCCAGAGTATAATCTTCATGGGTTCGCCTGTTTTTGGATCAAGAACATCTTTGTCCTTTTTGTATAGGGCTTTTTCAGTCTTCATTGAAGGAAAGTTTTCTTTGACCTGTCTGTCGAGAAATCTTTTGAAATTTGAAGCATTTGGATCTTCAGAAGGGTTATGGAATGGGGCCCTAGATAATTCAGCTAGATCAGTTTTGGTCCAAGAGTTGAAGTCATGGGTGCTTTTGTAACATTCAGATGCTCCTGATTTTTGCTTTACAACCCACAAATTCGTCACTGGATCAAAGGCCCATATTCGGATGCCTGTCCTGTCACCATACTCATCACCGAATTTTCTTTTCTTCAAATATGTTACTTTCAAGACAGGGTCTTTTGTTTTGCGATTTTCATTAGAGTTTTTCATGAATAAAAGGCCTCCGCTTTGTTTTGTAGTTACAATTCTTTTGCCCTACTTGATTGTGATTCTGGCTCTACTTCCTTCAGGTTCCTTTTCAAATCTGTCTACAATGGTAGTTGTTCTTGGAACAGGTGGGTCAACAGGTAGATCATCAGTTGCAGGAGGTCATTGAACAGAAGGAGGATCAACAACTCCATGAGGTTGTTGGAAGAGGGATTTGACTTTCTCACCAAAGGCATCGTACAATACGTTCTTGAGATTGAAATAATTTGCTAGAACAGAACCAAGACTCGTTTGTAGATCCTTGATTTGTTTGGTCTTTTCTTCATCTTTTTCCCTGAGCTCAAAAATATGTGCAGAAAGTTGATCCATCTGAATTGATTTTTCAATGAGCTGTTGATGGAGAATTCCAATTTCTTCTCGGAGATCAGATGAAGAAGATTTGTCATCATTTGTCCAAACCTCGTTAAATGATATTCCTTTTCCGCGTGAACAAGTTGGAGTAGATTGAGCTAAATGTTTTACTAATCTGATAGATGCTTCATCGAGAGAAGGTCGTGTTGGAGAATATTCTGGAATAGAAGAGGATCCACCAGTCTCGAACATGGTGCTTGGACCTTCATCAGTCTGCTTTGAAGGAGAGTGAGCAGTGGTTGCAGTGATTGTTGAAATAATTTAAGGAGCACATTTCACAGAGGGTACCTCTAGACTTTCAAGGGATTGGCTTGTTCTTGTTGAGGTCTGAGAAGTTTGAGGTTCAGATAATATAGAAATGATTGGAGTTGATGTTGAGACAGGTGACACAGAGGGAGGAATCTTTGATGTCACATCTCCTTGACTTGTTGTGATTTCCAAGGGCTTTGAGGTAGAGAGCAGAATTTTGAGACAATTTCCTTCATCTCTAGTCTTGGCTGCTAGAGAAGCAACTTCATTGACTTTATTTGCACGGCTGCTGGGAATATCAAGAAAAGGATCAAAATCTTCATCACCAAAATCAAACTCTATGTTTGTTGGAATGTCATCATTGATTCCTGTAAAGTCGATTTCTTTCAAAAACTCTACATCTTCATAAAGATCATCGTCATCATCCCCTCGAGAAGATATTGAATCATTTGCTTTCTGATAATCATGCTCATCAACTACACAAGTTGTGGGAGAGTGACGAATCTCCTCCACTACAGGCTCGGAGGGAGAGTGATGAGTGTCTTCATTTTCCATCGGCATGGATTGATCTGCTGCTTCTTCTCTGACATCCTCTTTAAAAATTCCAAATTTTATTAATGGAAATTTTCCTTCAAATACAAATTTTCTGCCTCTCTTTTGCTTCATTAATCCAAAGGCACTTGGACCAATGGATTTGAAATCAAGGGTATCATTTCCTCTCTGCAACTCGGGGTGAGTTACGTTAAGAATAATTTGTAGAAATCTTGGATACATACAGAATTTGTCTCTTTTGCTTCCTTCAATATTTAGTATCATTTCATTCATTACGAATTTTGAGAAATTAAACTCAAAACCTGCTGCCAAAGCAGCAATGGCACCAATATTGGCTAGAGAAATCTCGTTAGCTCCTGATCTCCGGCCAAAAACGCAACTCACAAACACATGAGCCAAAAGCTTCCAGCATGGAGGAAGCAGCTTTTCGATTGTAGGAGGAAAAGTTCCTTCGTATCCCATATGCTCCAAAACTTTCTCAATTTGATGAACTTCAATCTCCATGAGGTACTCAGGTCTGTCCTCAATTTGAAGAGATTCTCTGATGATGCTTTCTATAACTAGAATTTTCTTGTCTTCGATTGTTGTTTCCAGAAATTTTTCACCTCGATCATTCTTCTTTACATCATCATTTCTCCAGAAATCCTTAATCAAACTTTGGTAGATAGCAGGATTTGTAGTTAAGCAATGAAGCAAGCATGATTTCTTCAAACCATCCACAATGAGTTTCAAGTCACTGTGGGCTGCAGGAGGATCTTCAAGAAAAATTGCAGAATTATGAGCTTTAGCGAACTCTATGTCTCCCATTTTAATCTGAAAGTTAATACATGAAATTATTAGGGTAACATATAAGAATGATGTAGCCGCACACGGAGTTACACACAGCCGCACACGCACATCTGCAGCTGTACAAGGTCAGCCGCACACATTTGTTCATGAAAAAGTGTGGCAGCACACGGTCAGCCGCACACGCTTATTCATGAAGGAATGTGGCAGCACACGGTCAGCCGCACACGGACGTGTGCGGCCGCACACACCGTGTGCGGTTACACTTGAAGATAAACAAATTTTTTTGAAGATTCAACAGCAAACTATAAAATTTTTTGTGAAAATAATTAAAAATTTAGCCGTGTTCATGAAAATTACCGAGTAAACAACTTGTTTTCACAAAAAACTTAATAGAAATTTAAAGAGATTGAGAGAGTTTATACGTGTGTGCGGTTGAAGCGGAATAGTGACTGTATGATTTTCACTGCACACACACACTATATATATAGAAAAAATTTCACTTTCTCCCCCTTTTCCTTTAATTATTTATCCCAAAACCCCTTTCACTTCACAATTTTCTCAAAAATGAAATATTTTGAGGATTAATAGAATTTTAATTTCAAAGATTCAAGAAAAAAATTTAAAATAAAATTAAATATAAAATTAAAAGTAAAATAAAATAAAATAAGAAAATAATAAAAAATAAAATAAAAATAAAATGAGATTGAAAATACTATTGACGACAAGAATCAATTCAAACCTATATAAATTGTTTTAACCTGTTGAGGATTAGGGATCAAAGTTTTTAGACAACCATTATCCGCTTGTCGGTACCTTTCATGTTCACATCTTTGTCTGGTCGATTGTCGGTATTGTTGTCCACTTAAACACGAAAAATTGTGAGAAAGTTATGACATACTATAAGTGACAAGACAATGTGATCCTAAGTTTCTAGATATTATATCTGATCCTAAGTTTCTAGACACTATATCTTACTATATCTTAAGGACCATTAGCTGACGACGACCAGGGATATTGTTGTCCACCTAAATTGAGCAGCAAGATCTATAGACAATCTTTGTGTGTTCAATTTTAATTATACTGGAACATGTTTCCCGCTTCCAGATATGCCCCGGTAATCAAGGACTTCCAGAGTACTCCTTACATCGGATGAGCAGACCATCATTAGGGGAGAAGATAGATTCAGAGTATTATCACTTACAGTGCATGTGCTGTGTACCAGGTCGGATTGTTAGTCACGCAAAGGAGACAACATATGGCTAACAGATAAGAGGAATTCATATGTGTGTGTGTGTGTGTGTGTGTATATATATATATATATATGTGTGTGTGTGTGTGTGTATGTATGTATGTATGTATGTATGTATAATATGCAGAGAAATAGAGTTGCATATGTTATAGTCCAGGTCGGATCTCTTCCAATCACGCAGAGGAGGCAACATATGACTAACAGATAGAAAGAAAGAAAATGATTTTATACAGACCTAATTTATCAGAATTTACCAGTCGCCCCATCAATATCGGAATTAAGGACAGAATCCACACATGGAGGAAAAGCTAAACCACGGTTCCAGATACGGGTTCATTTAATGTGACTAGTAGATTCCCATATATATCTCCCTGCTCAACCTATCCGAGCGTCGTATTGTCAGGCTAAACGGAACTATCTAGGTCAAGATTTGTCAAGTCATTTGATTTACTAAGTTCAATTCTGCCTAGTCATGTCCATTTAGAATCTTTCGTGCCTACCGCCACATCAAACCAGAGCATAGACCCTTCAACTTTGGGTATATTACACAGACTCAGGTCGCCTGTTATCACTTGATCATATCACTTCCCAGAACATCTCCCTCAAACATAATTTCTAATTTTTTATGTTTTTGGATTTTCTATTTTTTTTTTTAATGTTTTTGGATTTTCTATTTTTTAATGATTTTGGATTTTCTATTTTTCTCTCCCTAAATTTGTGCATAAAAATAAAATGAAAGAAAATGCGCAAATTTGAAAAAGTAAAAAATAAAAAATTAATCATCAAAACGAATCATTTTTTAGAAAATTAACCAACACATCGAATCGAGCTTTGTTAAAAGGCTTGGTGAACAGATCTGCTACATTATTATCAGAGCGGACCTGTTCTAGCCGAATGAGCAAACGCTCATGACATTCTCGAATAAAATGAATCTTGATGTCGATGTGCTTGGTTTTTGAGTGCTGGACCGGGTTTTTGGCAATTTGAATCGCAGCCTCATTATCACAAAAAATAGAGGTTTCTTGAAAATTCAAACCGTAGTCCAACAACTGATGTTGGATCCAAATGACTTGAGAGCAACAAGCAGATGCAGCAACATATTCCGCTTCTGCTATTGAGGTTGAGACTGTGTGCTGCTTCTTGCACTGCCATGACACCAGTCTATCTCCCAGAAATTGGCATCCTCCTGAATTCGATTTTCTATCAAGCTCACACCCACCATAATTGTTGTCTGCAAAAGCATAAAGATCAAATTCGAGATTTTTTGGATACCAAAGCCCCAGCTTTGGGCACCCTTTGAGATACCGAAAAATCCTTTTAACAGCAATTAAATGAGAGAGTTTAGGATTAGCCTGGTAGCAAGCACATTGACAGACCGCGAACATGACGTCTGGGCGACTAGCAGTAAGATACATGAGTGATCCGATCATTGATCGATAATGAGTTTGATCTACGGATTCACCCTCAAGATCAGGAGTCAGAAGAGGTCATTCCGCTATGGGTGTAAGAGCAGGTTTTGCATCTCAAAACCCGAACTTCTCCAATACATCTTCCACATATTTTGATTGATGAATAAGGATTCCGGTTGAATATTGTTTGACCTGAAGCCCCAAAAACATGGTCATTTCCCCAAGTGAACTCATCTCAAAACGCTTCTTCATTACCGCTTCAAACTCCTTGCAAAGTTGTTGGCTTGTCGACCCAAAAATGATGTCGTCCACATAAATCTGAATGAGAATTTCATCTGGACCGACATGCTTGAGAAATAAGGTTTGATCAATGGTGCCTCGGGAATAGACGTGATTGAGCAAATGCTGAGTAAGAGTAGCATACCAAGCTCGAGGAGCTTGATGCAATCCATACAAAGCTTTGTCTAACTTGTAAACATGATTTGGAAGAGATGAGTTAACAAAACCAGGTGGTTGGTCAACGTAAATCTCCTCCTTGACCTTGTCGTACAAGAAAGCCGTCTTAACGTCCATTTGGTATACAGTAAAGTTCATGTAAGAAGCATAAGCAAGGAAGATACGAATGGCTTCCGAACGAGCAACTGGAGCATAAACTTTTGTATAATCAAGACCCTCAATTTGCCGAAACCCTCGAACCACCAATCTTGCCTTGTTGCGCACAATGATACCTGAATCGTCTTGTTTATTTCGAAATACCCAACGAGTATCAAGAGATTTCTTTCCTTTCGGTAGCTCCACCAATTTCCAGACTCCGAGTTTCTCAAATTGATTTAATTCATCATGCATGGCTTCAACCCAGCTGGGCTCATTCAGAGCCATTTCGACAGATTTAGGTTCAATTTGAGAGATGAAGCAAGAGTAGAGACATGTATTAACATCCCCACTTTTACTTCTTGTTTGAACACCGTCTCCCAACTGTCCAATGACGTTCTCTATCGGATGATCTCACTGAATACGTGTAGGGATCTGATAACTAATATCATTGACAGAAATAGGAAGATTATGAATATTAACCGCTCCATCATTTGTTGTATGATCTCTAGAAGGTGAACCAGGTTCGATTGAAGAATCTGCTACAAACTCTTCTGCAATACTCTCCAGAAAGAGAAGTTCCATCAGATTTGAAGTTACTGTGGAAGTCTCGTGGTTCATGAACTCTCTTTCCATCGGAGTTAAGGGAGTAACAATAGCATCAGGAGAAGGTTTTTGAGGAGACTCAAAAGATTCAAAATGAGCAGAGGGTACCAATACAGGATCAAAAGAAATCAATGGTGGTCGATAGACAACTTCATCTTCTTCGTCATCACCAGGAATCTTCGAGTTGGAAGTAGATCCTTTTCGAATATTGAAGACACATTGAATGATTTAAAAAGAGACGTGTAGTCAAATAACCAATCAGGACCCACTCTTTCATCTGTCTCATTTTCTTCAAGCCAACGAACATCAAAGGATTCTACAATCTGTTTAGTCTTCTTATTGTACACCTTGTACGCAGTTCGAGAAGCATATCCAACAAAGTAACAGTCATCAGCTTTGGCATTGAATTTGGGATTGGATTCCAAGTGGAGAAGGGTGCAAGGGCATCCAAATACACGGAAATGACTGACAGATGGATTGTGTCCAAATAAAATCTCATACGACATATTCATTCTGGCTTTGTTGATTAGCACACGATTTTGAACATAACACGCGATGTTAATCGCCTCTGCCCAGAAGAATACAGGAAGCTTGGAATCACAGAGCATCGTCCTTGAGGCATCTTTTGGAGTTTGATTCCGACGTTTGGCAACCCCTTTTTGTTGAGGTGTTCGAACAGAACTGAATTGATGCACAGTCCCTTTCTCAGCGCAAAAATGATCAAGAACAGCGTTCTTGAACTCTGTTCCATTATCAGTATGCAACGCTTTCACTCGATTTTTAGTCTGATTTTCAATCATCACAATGAATCTTTTGATAAGGTTAGCAATTTCAGCTTTGTTAGACAGAAAGAAAGCCCAATTGAAACGAGAGTAATCATCTATCACAACAAGGCAGAAAGAGTTACGATTGATACTTAGAACATTAACCGAACCAAATAAATCCATATGCAATAACTCGAGCACTTGACTTATGGAGTTTATCTGCTTTGGAAAGTGTGGTTTTCGATGATCTTTTCCCTGAGCGCATGAAACACATTTTTCAAAAGTAATGAAATCCTTGATGGGTAGCCCGCGGACCAATTCGTTCTTTGCAAGTCGATTCAAGTTCTTTGCATTCGCATGACCGAGACGACGATGCCACAGCATCGCATTGTGTTCAGA